TTCTTCCTCCTCCTTTCCCTCCTCCTCCTCCTCCTCCTCCTCTCCCTCCTACTTCCTTCACCCCCTCCCTCCTCCTTCCTCCCTCCGCCTCTCTCCCCTCCTCCCTCTCCCTCCTCCTTCTCCTGCTCCTCCTCCTCCTCTCCTCCCCTCCTCTCCTCCATTCTTTCTCCTCCGCCTCTACTCACCTCCTCCCCCGCCTCTCTCCGTCCTCCTCCCTTCCTCCTCCTCCTCCTCCTCCTCCTCCTCCTCCTCCTCCTCCCCCTTTTCCTCCTCCTCATCCTGCACCCGGCGACCTCCACCCCCGGGGGGCGCCGCGCCGCGGCGCCTCGGGCGCTTGCCGCCGGGGGGGCGAGCTGCACGTGCCGGGCACGCAACGAAGATCGGCGGCGAGCGGGGGGGGAATCGAGAATCGAAGGAGAAAGAGTGCCATACATGTAGGTCGGGCGTGTCGTCCTTCAGGGGGATTGTGGACGAGAAACAAGAAATAGTCAAAAACATGCCAAACTCGTCAAAATAAGCCACAAAGTCGTCCCCAGACTTTTTGTTGACTATGTTTGATGATTCCCCCTGTAGAAGGACGTGCCCGATTCAACCATTCACATAAACGTTTGGGGTTCTGCGCGGATTTCATGGATCCGCGCTGGGCCGCCACGGCGGCGCCTCCGGCGCCGCCCCTGGCGCGCTCCGCGCGCCAGGAAGGGGGATCCAGCGCGGATCTAAGAAATCCGCGCGCAACGCCCAAAAGCCTTTTGTTTGTGGCGTTTTTTCCTCTTTTGCGGAAGGGGCGGGCCTTCTCAGAAGGCTCGGAAGTCTCCCCGGCCTTCGGAGAGGTGTTCGAAGCCTCCCCCGAAGGCACGGAGGGCTTCTGAGAAGGGCGGTGGGCTTCTGAGAAGTCCCGCCGCCTTCGAGGACGGCCCTCTCCTTCTCGCTGCCCCACCTCGCTCGCCGCCGGCAAGCATACGGTTACATCTATTGAACAAACACTCACACACGATCCCTCCGTTTCTCTTCGTCACTCTTTTTTCTCTGTCTCTCTCTCTCTCTCTCTCTCTTCCTCGCTCTCTCTCTCTCTCTCTCTTTGTGTTTTTGTATTGTTTTCTCTCTCTCTCTCTCTATCACGACGAGACATGGAGGAGAGGGGGCCCGAAAGCCTGAGGTAGTTTGAGCGCTCGCCGTCAGATCGGCCAGCACCTCGAGGCCTCCGCCCGAGCTCTTACGCGCTCCGCCGCACACGCACGCACGCAAGCAGGCATGCACGCACGCACGCACGCACGCACGCACATACGCACACGCACACGCACACGCACACAAACACAAACACAAACACAAACACACACACACACACACACACACACACACACACGCACACACACACACACACACACACGCACGCACGCACGCACGCACGCACGCACGCACGCACGCACGCACGCACGCACGCACGCAGCACACACAACACACACACACACACACACACACACACACACACACACACACACCCACGCCGCCCACGCACACTCACACGAACACGCACACGCACAACACAAACAAACCACACACACACACACACGCTGGCAGAAAACCACTCGAGCTCTCAGAGCCGCACACCCGACGAAGCGAGCTTGACGCCGGGCCAAGGACACATGCGCACCTGTCTGGCGTCGTGGCCGCGCGCGCGGCTTCACGGCGCAGAGAGATCCGAAGTGGAGCGCCCGCCAGCCAAGCTCACGCAGCGCGCACAGCACAAGCAATACAAAAGTAGCGCGTTTCTTGGGTTCTCCTCCTCCTCCTCCTCCTCTTCCTCTTCTCCTCCTCCTGCTCCTTCCTAGATGGGGTCGGAGTAGATGGGGTCGGAGGATCGCGCGGCGTCGCCGATGCATCGGCGATGCGGCTCGATGTGGTTCCCGATTTTCTGCGCGCCCACGTCGCCGATGCATCGCCGACGTTGCCAGTGCATCGCAGATGCATCGCCGATGCATCGGCGATGCATTGGCGATGCGGCGCGATCCTTCGAACCCATCTACCCAGACCCCATGTAGGAGCACGTTTCCATAATTCCGACTGGTTTGTCTTGCAGTTGGCGGGCCCCAAGGTTCTCGCCTTTCCCACGGAGGCAGTGTTTTGCCCTAGGTGAGTTTGGATAGTCCGTGGGCCCGAAGGAGCCCCCTGGGAGGCCGAGCTTACCACACCAGCGACAGCGAGGACGACGGTGACGGCGGCGACGCCCGGAGGTTTTCACGACGGCATGGTGGAGGCGGGCAAGTCGCTGTCGTCGGCGGTGGAGGGCGTGTTCGACATCGTCAAGAAGCCGCGCCCCCACCGCTGCCGTCGTCGTCGGCATCGCCGTCGCCGCTGCCGCTGCCACAGCCGCAGCTATTTCTCTGGACCGAATTCGCACTCATCCACGCCTTCGCTGTCCTCCGACCCTTCCTCGTCCCCTAGTCCTCCGCATTATTATGTATATCGTATATCCTTCCTACGGGGCGGGGCCTCCGAAAGATTTTCCCCTTCATGCTTTTGCTAGTCAACTCCAGCCGAACTCAAGTCAACGGACGTTCGATGCAGCATCGACGCGTCAGTGGAGCGAGTGGCTCCAGGAAGGTCCGCAGACCGAGAATCCAATGCTTGGTAAAGCCTTCCCATTTTTGTCTCCAGTGTCGGTGCTTGTTTTCTCCTGGGTGTGGCGAGCAGGGTAACGTACGGTTGTTTCGCACCGTCTTCTTGTCATGTCGGCGAGTAGGGTAGAATAGTGTTTCCCCCCTCCCCCTTGCGTTGTCACGCAGCAGCTTGTCCCGGACACGTTGTTCCAACTGCTTCCCAATACGTGTGTGGCAAGGGTTTCCAGAAGCTCTTTCCAAGAGCTTCCATAATTTTTCCGCAGGACGTTCAGAAAGCTTCTGTTGCCCCGCGATCCGGGCTTCAGACGCGCTGGTCCCCGACCCCTGCAAGACCATGTGCTAACTTGTGAACACGTATGGCCCCCTCGTGCGTTGCCACGTGGCGAGCGCAATCGCCATGCGCTTATCGAGTGTTTTTGAGTTGGCACGTGGCGAATCGAGTCGAATGGATGCATGTGTATATACATATACATATATATATATATATATATATATCTATCTATCTATCTATCTATCTATCTATCTATCTATCTATCTATCTATCTATCTATCTATCTATCTATATACATATATGGGAGATCCCGGGCCCCGGGCCCCGGGCCGGAACCTCCCTTGTATATAGGGTGCGGCCCTCTCCCGGGGCGCCCTTCCGGCGGCCCCCGCGCGCGCGTTCCAGCCCGCCCAAGAGGGCTCCAGGAGCGCCGAGAGAACCCCAGGATCGCTTCAAGACCGCCAAAGATCGCTTCCAGAAGGGTCAAGAGGCGCTCAAACCGCCCCAAGAGGCCTTCAAGAGGCCCCCCACGAGCGCCCCGGGAGACCAAAATAGCCCCATTCCCTTCGTAAAACGTACATTTTTACGATATCAGCTCCCTTAGCTGTCGGAGCGCCCAGAAAGCCCCACGAGGCGCCCAAGGACGCTCCAGGACGACTGAGGACAGCCCCAAGACGGCCCAGGAGGGCCTCCCGGGACGCTCCTCCGGCGGCCCCCGGGCTGCCCAGTCCGCCCAAGAAGGCTCCAAGAGCGCCGAGAGAACCCCAGGATCGCTTCAAGACCGCAAAAGATCGCTTCCAGAAGGGCCAAGAGGCCATCAAACCGCCCCAAGAGGCCTCCAAGAGGCCCCCCAAGAGCGCCCCGGGAAACCAAAATGGCCCCATTCCCTTCGTAAAACGTACATTTTTAGGATATCAGCTCCCTTGGCTGTCGGAGCGGTCCGAAAGCCCCACGAGGCGCCCTAGGATAGCCCGAAGACAGCCCAGGAAGGCCTCCCGGGACGCTCCTCGGGCGGCCCCCGGGCCTCCCAGTCCGCCAAAGAAGGCTCCAAGAGCGCCGAGAGAAGCCCAGGATCGCTTCAAGACCGCCAAAGATCGCTTCCAGAAGGGACAAGAGGCCATCAAACCGCCCCAAGAGGCCTCCAAGAGGCCCCCCAAGAGCGCCCCGGGAAACCAAAATGGCCCCATTCCCTTCGTAAAACGTACATTTTTAGGATATCTCATCCCTTGGCTGTCCGAGTTGTCAGACAGCCCCAGGAGGCGCCCAAGGACGCCCCAGGACGCCTGAGGACAGCGCTAAGAGGGCCTAGGAGGGCTTCCTGGGACGCTCCTCGGGCGGCCCCCGGGCCTCCCAGTCCGCCCAAGACGGCCCAAGAGGTTCCCAAGAGGCGCCCAAGACGGCCCGAGAGGGCGCCAAGACGGCCAAAGAGGCCCCCAAAACGGCCCGAGAGGGCCCCAAGACAACCCCAAGAAGGCCCCAGGATAAGAGGCCCCCAAGAGGCCCCCAAGAGGCTTCCAAGAGGTGCCTAAGAGGCCCCAAAGAGGCCCCAAGAGGCAAGGCGGCAGAGAGTCGGCGAAGGCAGTTTCCATACCATGCCCGGCCCGGCGCATTGGAGGGGGATGGGGAGGACGAGGAGGGGGAGGGGAGGGACGGGGATGAGGAGGAGAAGGAGGAGAAAGGAGGAGGAGGAGGGGGAGGAGGAGGAGGAGGAGGGGGAGAAGGAGGAGAAGGAGGAGGAGAGGAGGAGGAGGAGGAGGAGGAGGAGGAGGAGTGGGAGGAGGAGGGCGATGAGGAGGAGGAGGAGGAGGAGGAGGAGGAGTTTGAGCAAGTGGAAGAAGGAAGGATTCAGAAGGAAGGAGGAAACGGTGGAGCGGGGATGAGCCTCTTCATTTGAGATGTTGAGGCGTTCGGGTTCGATTTCTGGGCTCGGGTCTTCGGTCTCAAGGTTCGGGTCTAAGGGTGAGGGTGTCATGGAAAGATTGTTCGGGTTTGAGTGCTCTCGTGGATCTTCTTGGGAGCCTCATGGGCCCTCTTGGGGCCATTTTGGGCCGTCTTGAGGCCGTCTTGGGCTGTCTTGGGGCCATCGTCGGCCATCTTGAGGCCCTCCTTGGAGTCCCAAGAGGCCCAAGAGGCCGAAATTGTTGATTTTCCATAGGTCTTTCTATGTTTTGAGGCCCAGAATGAGACCCTCCAGATTTGGTCCGACGATGTGGCGCGGCTCCAGGGGGGGGGCATAATATTGCAGAACAATACAGTATGTAGCATATGTAACAAGTATGCAATCGTTGGATACACTGGACACGTTGCATTAAAGCATCCGCGGACCTGCCTCTGGCAACACGTCATTTTCGGACGTAGATTTCCCGCGAATCGCCACGGAATCGGACCCGTGCTTGCGAACACCGTTTTCGGAGCAAACTAGAACCTAAGCGCGCGCGAAGCGCGCGTGGTTCTAGTATGTATGTATATATATATATATATATATACGGATCCAACATCATGCGGCGGAGTGTCGCCAGTTGAGGGGCCGGAGGACAGGCGGCTCCTGGGCCGGGGAGGAAAGTGGGGAGGGGGGCGCGGCGCGGAACGGGACGGGAGCCGCCGGGCGGAAGCCGCCCAAGCAGGAGGGAGGGATCGCTGTCGCAGCGCTCGTTTCGCTTCCTCCGATTCGTTTCGCTTCGCTTTCGATCGCTTCCGATTCCGATGCGATTCGACTCGGGATTCGGATTGGGGTACCGCTATTCTGATGGGAGGCGTACCTGCCTGCCGAGTTCTGCCGGTTCGGTTGTTTCCGACTCGGCTGCCGATTTCCGCCGATCCTATCCGCTTCAATCGCCGATCCGACTCGTCGATTCGATTCTGGGCTCTCCTGCTGTCTGGCGTGCCCGAAGCGTTTGGGAAGGGGGCTTCAGGCCAGGGGCCTCCACATGGAGGGGGGGGGGAGGAGGCAGCCCCCAGAGGGCGGAAGGGGTCCTCCTTCCCCTCCCTCCCCTCTTCCTCCTCCTCCTCCTCCTCCTCCTCCTCCTCTGCCTCCTCCTCCTCCTCCGCTCACTCAATGTTTTGCCGATCTGTGCGGGCCCCCCAACCCCCCTCCCCTCCCCTCCCCCGTGGAGCAGAATTTCGCTGTTTTTTGGCGCCTCCCCCACAATGGGCGCCTGTTGCAAACAGTCGGGCAGCTTCCCCTGGGGTTAAGTCGGGCATGTCCCTCCACAGGAGGGATGTTCAAAGTGTAGAAAAACTAGTATGATGACTATGTATACATAAACATGTAAACAAAAAGCAAACACATAATAACAAAACAAAGAAAACAAACAACATCCGCCGCAGGACAGCCCTCGCATCGTGCCCCCTCCCCCCGCGCAAACGCGCGGGCGCGGCCTGCGCCCGAGACAGGCGCCTCCTCGAGGGAGGCGGGGGAGAGGGGCAGCTTGTTATTATTTTGTATTCATTGTTTTGCCGATCGGCGCGGGCCCCCCAAACCCCCCGTCCCCCCCCACGGAGTAGATCTTGGCTGTTTTTTGGCGCTTGTTTCGAGCGGGTGGAGTCTCCTCCATAATGGGCGCCCTGTTGCAAACAGTCGCATCAAGCAGAAGTCCTGAGCCAGATCCCCCCTCTTCCCCCCTCCTTCCGCCCAATGTCGAAACGCCGAATCAGAAAACGCTCACCAGCTTCCTTAATTCGGGCATGCCCCCCTACAGGAGTAGTATTCAAAAGAAGTTTCAAAATTGTCAGAGACGTTTTTGTTTGGATTACGTTTGAGTATTTATGAATCTGTTTCGACTATTCTTAACTGGCGTCCAGAATCTGCCTGTAGGAGGACATGCCCTACATGACCCTGGCGGGGCGGGGGAAGAGGGGAAAGGGAGGGGATCAAGGGCAACGCTCGTCAGGCGATCGCAGGCATGGATCGAGGGGGCGTGGATTCGCGGCGGGTCCCGCTTCCATTTTGGAGATCGCGGACTTCCGCCGCCGAGCGAGGCGGCACCGGCCGCACTTGGGGGAGGGCACCTCCCCCGATTGGATTCGGCGGCCGCGCCAAACCCATGGATCGCTCATGGTTGCTTACCAGCCTCGAACGTATCCCTATCCCTAAGATTGACACGCCAAAAGGCGATGCCAATCTTAGGGATTCGCCCTCAAGTTATATGGGATTCCCTAAGATTGGCATCGTGATGAGGAGGTGCCCAGCATAGGGATAGGGATAGGTTCCAGGCTGGCAAGTTGCGCGCCCACGAGGGATGGTCGGGTCGGGCGAAAGGGGGGGATTGGGAAAGGGGGGGTTACGAAATTTGCTGCATGCAGCTGATTTCGGCCTCACCGAGGGGCCCATTCCTCGATACATGGCCGCCTCCGGCGCCGGCAGGCGCCGGGAAAATCAGCTACGTGAGCTGATTCTCAACCCCCCCCTTTGCTATCCCCCCCTTTCGCCCGACCCGATGGGAGGGCACACCAAGGGCAACGCCAGGGGGGAACGGGCTCCGGGGGAGGGGGAGTGCCTCGCTCCGCAGCCGCCCAGCTCCGTCGCCGAGGGCGACGGAGGCCCGATGCCCTCTCCGACAGATCTCAGGAGGAGAAACACACACAGACACAAGGAATCGTCGATTCCCCAGAAAATATTGGAAAATATGGGATCGGGAGCCTCGAGACGGGGGTCAGTGCAAACGGGGGTCAGCCAGAGCGCCCGATCTTGCAGGATCCTGCAGGGCCAGGGGTGCATTGACCCGGGTATGGGTGCAGGATCCTGCAGGATTTTGCAGGATCCTTCGCGTTGACCCGGGTTTGGGTGCAGGGTCTGGCAGGATCTTGCAGGATTTTGCAAGGCCTGGCTGACCCGGGTCTGGATTGACCCGGGTCAGAAGATCCCCGATGGGAAGTGGGGGGGAAGACAAAAACCCAAGACATCTGGGAAATTATGGGAAATCCCTTTATTTGTGTCTATTTATCTGTGTGTCCCAGGGCCCCTTCAAGATCGGCGAGCGGCAGGCGACGGCGGACGACGACGCCGAGGAAGGCGGAGAGGCGCAGGAGCAACGCCGAGCGACGAGCCGCTCCCAGCGACGACGACTGGCGGCCAGCGGCCGACGTTCGATGACGAGCGGCGAGCGGCGGCGGCGGGCGCCGGGCGGCGGCGGCGACCGACGGCCACGGCCGCCCCGGCGGAGGCCGTGGGAGGGCGCGCAGAGCGGCGGCCTGGGCGGCTTCTGCTCCGGCTTCGGCAAGGAGCAGCGGAGGAGGAGGAGGAGGAGGAGGAGGAGGAGGAGGAGGAGGCGGAGGGAGGAGGAGGCGGAGGGAGGAGGAGGCGGAGGAGGAAGGAAGGAAGGAAGGAAGGAAGGAAGGAATGAACGGAGGAAGAAGCAGCGGTGCCCGGGCGGTGGCGGCGGCGGCGGCGGCGGCGACGACGGAGAAGACGGCGGCGACAGTGATGCCGCTCGCCTCCCCCTCGTCCTCGTGCTCATCTCTCGTGTTGTCTGCCAGTTCTTGTTCTCTGCCGTTGTGTTCTGGGTGCCTGCTTGCGTGCATAAATGTGTGTGTGTGTTCCCGTTATCTTGCACCAGCCGCGCGTCCGAGGGAATGGTGTGTGTGTGTGTGTTTGTTCGTGTGTGTGCGTGTGCGTGTGTGTGTGTGTGTGTGTGTGTTCGTGTGTGCATGTATGTATGTATGCGTGTGCGTGTGTGTGTGTGTGTGTGTCACTCGGTCGTGTCCCGTTCTAGCTCCTAGTCGTAGTGACGTCTCTGGGCCGTTGGAGATGATACATGTGTTTGTGCGTGTGTCTGTGTGTCTGTGTGCTTGCTCGACTCGCTGTGCCCCTTCGTTCCCGCTTTCTTTGGCGGCCGCTGCGCCGCCTCTGTCTTCGCCGCCCCTTGGTTGTAGACCCTCTTTGGATCGCTCTCCCTGTTTTTCACGTGTCTGAGCACGCGGTCCGCCCTCGCACGTCTCCGACGTTTTGCCTCCCCACGTTCTGCGGCGCCCTTCCCTCGCCCCCACGATTAGGCTCGCCTCGAGACTCCAGTCAGAACGCACCCCTGGAGAGGTCCGGGGAGTAGCGATGCCGGTGCTTTTGTCCCCCCACATCCGCAATGCGTGCGGATGCAGTGCACGTGGCGTCCCTCCCCATGGCTGAGACTGCCGTACGCTGGAGCTGTTTCTGCAGCTGCCCCGCACAGCGGCAGTTGGCGAGATCCTGCGGAGGCTGAGCGGCTGTGGGACGAGTCAAGCTGAGAGCCGCGACCACCTGCGCCTCTTCTGCATGCTCGAGCCTTCGCGGCACCGGCCCGCGCGTCAAGAACTTGATGAGAAAGGCTGCGCTCGCACTGTTCAGGGGCAGCGATAGGGGGGATAGGCATGAGTCAGGAGGGAAAGAAACACACAGACACAATTAATCGTCGACTTCCCAGAAAATATGGGAAAATATGGGAAGTGGGGGGGAAGACAAAAACCTAGAAAATCTAGGAAAATATTGTCAATATTTTTATTTGTGTGTATTTATTTGTGTGTCCTGGGGCCCCTTCAATGAGGGGGGACGCATCGACCCCAAATCGCCCATGGATTGCCGATGGGGTCTCATAGCCCCACCCCGCCCAGGAAGGTGCGGGCTCGCTGTCCGGGGGCCTATCGCAGGGCTCATTCCGATGCATCCGATCCGATTCGGTTCGATTTCGATGGCCTCCGATTCCGATTCGATTCGATTTGGGATTCCGATTCTGTAGGCTTGCGCCACATCCGCCGACCCTTCTATAAACTACTGCGCCTCCAGGACTGCGTTCCACGAGGCTTGTCCTCTTGGGGGCCGTTTTGGGGCTTCTTTCGGGCCTCTTGGGAGCTCCTTGGGGTCTCTTGGGTGCCTCATGGGGGCCTCGGAGGGCCGCTTGGGGGCCTCTTGGGTCCTCAGGAGAGCTTCGTTGGGCGGAGCGGTGGAATTCGCGGTTCGTGGTCCCTCTCTTGGGCCCTTCTCGGGGCCGTCTTGGAGCTCTCTTGGGCCGTTTAGGACGCCTTTTGGGCCACGTTGGAGTTCTTTTGGATTATTTCGGGGGCCTCCTGGGAGCCTCGTGGGCCGTCTTGGGGTGGTCCTGGGGGCCCCGTGGAGGCCTCGTAGGCGGTTTTCAACGCCGTGAAGGCTGACAAGTTGGATATGCTGAAAATGCACGTTCTCCCGCGGGAATTGCAAGATTTGGGTTTCTTGGGGGCTTGTTGGGAGGCCTCTTGGACGCTTCGTGGTGTGTCTTGGCGGCCTCTTGGGCCGTTTTGAGCTCATCTTGGGTGTCTTTTGGGGTTCTCGTGGGCCGTCTTGGCGGCTTCTTGGGAGGCGTCAAGTGCTGTCGCGCAGCTCAAGAGCGAGCCCAGGGAGCCCAGACCGCCCGGGGTGAGTTCGGTCCGGGGCCACCTGGGGCCGGGGGGGGGGGTCAAAATCCCGATTTGGGGTCCCTGGGGGGGGGTATGGGGGGGGGACAATCTCACACGCCTGGAGACCCACAAGGGGTCGGCGGATTTTGGTTCCGATTTTCAGTGGAGGCCCATCAGCCTGCCGACTGCCGCCGATTCGACGTTCCCCGACTCGGCCGCCGATTTCCGCCGATCCGATTTATTTCGATTGCCGATCCGACTTATCGATTCGATTATGGGCTCTCCTGCCTATCGCCGACCCATCGACGATGTATCATCGATTCCAGGTCGATGTGTCCACCCTATGCCATTCCGACATGCCCCCCTAACGTGCATAGATTGTGCTGCCTGCATATGCTGCCGCTGCTCTCGCGTGCCTCGCGCATAGGGTCTAATCTCGGGCCTGTCCCTCTACGGGAGGAATCTTCAAACATTTTAAAGGATGGAGACGATTGTTTGATATTTGTTGGCTCCTTCTGTCTCTTTTTAGACTACTTGTTATTCTTCCTCCAAAATCCGCCTGTAGGAGGGCACGCCCGACCTGATCCTACGGGATCTGTGCACTCCTGGCCAGGCGGCTCCAGCGGTTTCAAGCTCGGGGGGCCAGGTCGACACAGGGGCAACGCTGTGGAGGGATAGGCTCAGGGGGTGGCCCACCTGGAGGTCCTGTGTCAGGAAACCAAGCAGCTCAGCACCCGCCATGGAGGGTGAACAACTCGGCTTGACGAGCACAGGAGGGCGAATCGCTGGCTGCCCGCGCGCGCGACGACTGAATCGCAGCTTGAGGCAAAATGGCTACGGCGACCGCGGACGCGTCCGACGCACCCTGGGTGGGGGAACGCATCGGCCCCCAATCTCCCATGCATCGCCGAGTGGGGCCCGACGGCCCCTCCCGCCCAGGAGCGTACGCTGTCGCTATCGGGGGCCAATCGCCGAACTCCTCCTCCTCCTCCTCCTCCCCCCCCTCCTCCTCCTCCTCCTCCTCCTCCTCCTCCTCCTCCTCCTCCCTCCTCCTCTCCTCCTCCCCTCCCTCCCATCCTCCTCCTACTCCTCCTCCTCCTCCTCCTCCTCCTCCTCCTCCTCCTCCTCCCTCTCGCGTCGCTGGGTGCACGTCCGGAGCACGTGCAGTCCAGTCGTTTTTCGGGGCATGGCGGGAGCCTCTTCCAGGGCTTCGGAGGGCTTCTTCAGCACATCCGCCGACCCCACTGGTGCTGTCGGGGGCCTCCTATCGAGAGGAGGCCCTCGGCGCTTGCCGCCAAACGTGCGTGGGCTTCGGGGCAGAGCGCTCGCGGGGCGCCTCCTGGAGGTGTCTCGGCGCCGGGGGCGCGAGACCCAGAGATCCAACGTATTCAAAAAATCAAGACGGAGGTTTTTCAAGTTTTTTTTGCCTCGGGGGGCCCTCGCCGGGCCCTGGGACCGCCAAAAAACAACTCCGGACGAAAACCGGTCCTGGGGAATGGGCCGGGACTTCTGGGGGCCCCTTATTGAACAAATCATGACATCGGATCTCTGGGGATGTCCGTTCGGGTCCCCCGTCTGGGCACCCTGACGGAGCCGTCTCAGGGGCGTCTTGGGCCGTCCTGGCGGCCTCTCGTCGGCGGCGAGCGAGGGGGGGAGGTGAGAAGGAGGGAGGCCTTCTCGGAGGGCGGAAGGACTTCTCGGGAGCCCTGGCGCCTTCGGAGAAGTCTTATGTGCCTTTGGGGAAGGCCTAGAGCAGTTCTCGGAAGGCCGGGGCCTTCCGAGCCTTCTGAGAAGGCCCGCCCCTTTCGTTTTTCCCCTTCGCGCTCGCCGCCGGTCTTGCTCAGTCACCAGGCCGTTTTGGAGCCCTTTTTGAACCCTCTCGGGCCGTTTTGGGGCGATCCTGGGGGCCTCTGGGGCCGTGTTGGAGCTTCGGGACACGAAGAAGACGAGAACGCCGAAACCCCAAAACACCGTATGGGACATCAGTGAAGGTCTCCTCTTGAGGCCCTCTCGGGGGGCCTCTTTGAGGCGTCTAGGGGCGTCTTGGGGACACCTTGTGCCGCTTAGAGGCCATCTTGGGCATCTTGGACCGATCTGTCGGCGATTCGGGGCCCTAGTGCACAGTCTTGGGGGCCTTCTGTAGCCCTCTTGGCTCGTTTTGGGGCCCTCTATCCCTGCATGACGAGTTTTTCCCGGGCCCGGGGGGGGAATCCTGGGGAAGGAACAATCTCACACGCCTGGAGACCCACAAGGGGTCGGCGGATTTGGAGGCTATGTGCCTGGTGCATTGTATGTTGACAGGGACGGTTGGGGGTGGTTATCATGGGTCTGGGTTGGTTGCCGGTCGGGAGGGGAAGGGAGTGTTTATGCATATGGAACAGCGATCAAGTTACCCAAGGCCGCAAGCAGTGCTACCCACTACAGAAGTAGCACCCGCGTTTCAGCACGGGCAGGGGCTGCCATCGACAACTGTCGGGAATCAGCGCAGATGCCAGCCAGGTGCGCGAATGCCCGCGAGGTGCGCTGTACGTGCCAGGTGCGCCACGCGTTCCAGGTGTTCCACATTGGGCAATATTTCGACCATCCCACAATCTGGGTCGAGCATGGTGTGTTGAGTGTGGGTGTGCACGTGCAGTCGCTTCGCAATGGTCTCTGCCAGTCATTGTAGGCCTGCACGCCGTATGCCGCCCCACCCGCCGCCCCTGGGAAAGTGAACGCAGCAAGCTTTGTGCTGGCCTTTCGGGCGTCTGTCAGTAACCGCTGCAAGATAGCCCTAAACTGGTGATAGTAATCCCCTGGGCATAATGAAGGTCGGGGTCCAGAGAGGATAACATATGTTTCGCGAAGATATCGATGGTAGGATGTCTGCACACTGAGCGTTCCGTTTGAGACATCCTCACAAACCATGGCATGTTCGCGACAGTGCCTTTTACACAAACCAGCGCTTTGCTTGAGATATCATCCAAAAACTGATAGTCGCGAATTCGGCGAATCTTCGAAGCCGTGCCTTTCGCCTGAGACATCCTCACAACAATGATCATGCAGATTATTCATGGCTTCATGGAACTATGGTGCTACGCATGAGATGAAGTCCAGAGCTACGAGAGGAACTTTGGAGGGGATGATGAAGTTCGGCCTCCACGCCTGTTGTGGCAATTGATCCACAGTTAATCCCGTGGATAAGCATTGAACCCACATGCAATTGATCTACAGTGAATCCCGGGATGCTTCATTATCCCCAGGATGGGGTTTATCGCGGGCGTCCGCGCATGATCCAAAGTTTGCGGCAAAGTGCAGACCGGCGCTGGGCCGCTTCCGTGGCGCGGAGGCGCCCCAGTCCCACATGTTGACAAAAACGAGACGGAAGTTTTTCCGTGTGTTTTGTCTGTGGGGGCTCTCGCCGGGGACCTCGAAGAACCGTTTCAGGATGAGAAGCCGTTTCCTGGGTAGGTACTTCACGGTGACCCAAAGATCAGGAACAAATGCGCCATAAACAAGATCCGGAAGGCAATTTATTCTTCGAAGAACAAGTTTGGGGTGGACGCAGGGCCTAGCTTTCCAGGTGGCAGCTTTGCATGCCACAAATGCGCCAGCCCATGACGGGAATACAATCCACCGTGCATTTGGCATGGGCATGACGAAGACGAAGGAGCAGAGCGCCTGAGGCGATGGGAGCGCAGACTCGATGAAAACGAAGAAGGAAACGGCCGCACAGCGAATGTCACACTGGAAGTGGCTGATTATCGACCAGGTTCAGCACGGTGAGTGCTAACTTCCTTGCATGGCTCGATTCGCATCCGCGGTCGTGCATGTCATCAGCTAGCGACACGGAGGTAGGAGAGGATGGCGTGGACATGCCGCTCGGGGGCGTGATCGCGTTATGCTGCGAGGGTTTTAGTTAACCGAAGCCGCCGTCTGGAACAGCAACTAATGCGCTGGCGCGGCCACAATGCGGGGTGGGTTCTGCACGAGGACGAGGTCGCGGGAGATGAAAACGAGGAGGCGTTTTTGCATTTGCCGAGAGTCATAGGTCTGCGTTGCACGCGCAGGGCTGGCATCTCCCGGGCGGGGAGCCAAAGCTGCATCCATTCTTCCCACCGAAAAGGCGCCAAGGGCTTTTTGCTGGACATTGGGGACGCCCACTGTTGGGTGTGATGCGCGCGCAGTCTACGACTGCCCCGTCGTTGGCAGTGGCGGCGCGCGCCGCGCACGGGCGGGCGACGGCTGCAGCGATGGCAGACATGGCGGACCATGAGACAGGGCGCGGCGCGAGTTGGATGTCCAGGTGCGCGAAACAGAGGAGGAATTTTGGAAAAAGGAGGAGGGGCGCGATTCGTCGGGAAGCCGAGAAGGCGAAAGTGCCAGGATCTTTCACCTACCGGAGGGAACTCGTTCAAATTTGCTTTCAATGGCCCTTTTTCAGAAGACTTTTGTGCGACTTGTGGGCCCTTTCTAAAAACCCGTGAGGGTTTTCTAGGGGGTTCTCAAGGGCCTTTTAGGCTCTCTCGGGGTCCTCGGGGGGATTCCTGGTGTTTTTTGGGGGGAGGGCTCGCAATTTCTGTTCGAATTTCCCGTCGGGGTCCCCTGTTCGAGCCGTGTTGGAAGCCTTTGGGGCCGTCTTGGTGGCCTCGGGGACCGTGTGGTGGCCTTCTTGAGCCGTTTCGGGGCTCTGTAAGATGTTTCTGAAGCAGTCGTGGGCCGATCTGAAAACATTCTCCAACCAAAAAGAGACATCTCTCCTCCCCTCCTTGCCCAGGCCCCCCCCCCCGGTCGTGTGTCGCGGCGCCAGGGCCTGGCGGGCGCCATCGTCAAGCCGATCTCGCAGGCCCCCCTCCCTCGCGATCTCGGGCCCGTGAGCGGGCGCTGCCGGCGAAGCCTATGGAGACGACGACGAAGACGACCACCACCCTGACGACGACCGGGACGGCGGTGGCGCCGACGACGGCCCGAGCCACGACGCCGACGGCGTCCACGACGGCGACGCCGCCGCCCTCGGCGCCGACGACGGTGGCCCACGGCGCCCACCACGGCGCTCACGACGACGACGGCCGACGGCCGCGCGGGCCCCCGCCCAGGTCGGCCAGGCGGTGTCCGACGTGGGCTCCGGCATCGCGGCGCAGGTGACGCCGGACACCCAGCGAGGGCCTCGGGCGCGCGGGCCTCGGGCGGGCGCCAGCAGCAGTCGCAGATGTCGAAGAAGACAGACCACATAAGCATAAACTTTTGGCGCTCCGCGCGGGGTTCTTTGATCCGCGCTGGGCCACCCTGGACGCGCCTCCGGTGCCGCCCCTGGCGCGCTCCTGTCGCGCCAGGGAGGGGGGCCCAGCGCGGATCCAAGAAGTCCGCGCGGAGCGCCAAAAGTTTATGTTGACAATGTTTTTTCTTCTTCTAGCGGTGGCGGCGGAGGAGCCGCAGCAGCAGTCGCAGATGGCCATTGGCAGCTTGCGCCCTTATTATACGGTTTGACTGTATTTCGTACCCGTTAACGGTTCCTCGACTCATCGCCACCGTCGTTCCCCCCCCGTCGTCGGCGTTCCGGCTGACCTCGTTGGCGGCGGCGCCGCCGTCCGATGGTCGTCGTTGTCGCCGCAGGCGTCGGTGTCGGCGCGGTGGTGGCATCCCGTGGTCGTCGCCGTCGCCATAGGTCGTCGGCGAAGGTCGAAGGGGGGAAGGGGGGGAGAAGGGCTTGGTCGGGGGGAGGAGTTGAAGGAGGAGGAGGTAGGATGGGGGGATTGGTGGGGGGGAGGAGTGAGCAGGGGCAGGAGGATGAGGGAGCGGGAGGAAGAGGGGGAGAGGAGGAGGAGGAGCGAACCCGACCTCCCTCGCCGCTGCAGCGTGGCTCGCCGCCGACGCACAGGTCCATGAAGCGCCGGCGGGACCGGCCGCGGCTGCGGCAGCCGCGCGTGCTGTACTCGGAGCTGGGCGTGGTGCGGCCCTGGAGCGCATTCGAGGCCGAGGCCACACGGGCCGGCGCCGCCTCTCCGGGAGGGAGGGGGATGGCGTCGCTTCTTCGGCGTCGGGCGACGAGGCAGAGGGCGAGGAGGAGGAGGGCGAGGAGGAGGACGAGGGCGAGGAGAGAAGGACGAGGAGAGGGAGGAGTACGAGAAGGAGGACGAGGAGGACGAGGAGGAGGAGGAGGAGGAGGAGGAGCCAGCGGAGGGCGAGGAGGAGGAGGAGGAGGAGGAGCCAGCGGAGGAGGACGAGGACGAGGACGAGGACGAGGAGGAGGAGGAGGAGGAGGAGGAGGAGGAGGAGGAGGAGGAGGAGGAGGAGGAGCTGGGCGTGGTGCGGCCCTGGAGCGGGGCGTGGTGCGGCATTGGAGCGCCTTCGAGGCCGAGGCCACGCGGGCCGGCGCCGCGCGGCCCGGCGGCGGGGCTCCTGCGCGCCCGTGGCCCGGGGCCGTCGAGCAGCGGCGGCACGTCCTGGCTTGCCCATATCAGGAGGAAAAGAAACACACAGACACAATTAAGTCTCGATTTTCCAGAAAATAGAGGAAAATATGGGAAGTGGGCGGGAAGACAGAAACCCGGAAAATATAGGAAAATATGGGGGATTATTTTATTTGTGTGTATTTATTTGTGTGTCCTTGGGCCCCTTCACCATAGGCTTAAGTCGGGCCTGTCCCCCTACATAGGGTTTTTTGATAACAAATCTAAATATTCAATCGCTTCGCTCACTCCGCCGGCCCGTATTGCATGATCGCTACTGCTTCGGCGCGGGTTCGGGGCCATTTCGGCGCCGCCGGAAGGAGGAAGATGAGGATGGGGAGGGGGAGGGGAGGAGGAGAAGAGGATGAGAAGGAACGGAGGAGGATGAAGAGAAATATGAGGAGGAGGAGGAGGAGGAGGAGGAGGAGGAGGAGGAGGAGGAGGAAGAGAAAAGGGCGGAGGAGGAAGCCTCTCGATGGCATCTTGCGGCGCTCTTGGGGCCGGACAGGGCCGTCGTCCAGATGCTTCTTTGGGAGGCCCTGAGGTTTGTTGAGAGGCCGTTCGGGGGCGCCTGTGAGACATTTTTGAAGCCTTGTAGGGCCTCTTTTGAGCCTCCTTGGAGCCTCCTGGGGTCTCTTGGGGGCCTCTTGGCGGCATCTTGGGCCATCTTGGGGGCCTCCTGGGGCCCTCTTGGGGCGGAATGCTTGAGGTGTCGGTTCGTGGTCCCCATCTTGGGCCCCTCTTGGGGCCATCTTGGGCGTCTCTTGGGCCGTCTTGGGCGTCTCTTGGGCCGTCTCGGGGCCCGTTTGGGCTCTCTGGGGGCCGCCTTGGGGGCCTCTTGAGCCGTCTTCGTGCGCTCTTGGGGGCCTCTTGGGCCGTCTTGGAGCATCGGAAAGCCGAAAATGCGACAAGGCCAAAATCCTTCCAAAACCATTGTAAAACTGATGATTTTGGCATCTCGGAGCGCTCTTGTGAGGCCTCTTGGAGGCCACTTGGAGCGTCTTGGCGGCTTCTTGGGCCGTCTTGGGATTATCTTCGGCGTCTTGGAGCGTCCTTTGGGCGTCTCGGGGGCCTTTGGGCAGTCTTGGTGGCCTCTTGGGGTCCTCTTG